CCCGTGGTGGGTCGGCTCCTCTGATGAGGCCGAGGCCAGCCACCCCATGGGCCTCCTGCACAGGGCAGCGCCCGGCTACCAGGCATGCCTGCTCCAGTGGTGCAGGGTGCGGCCTGCTCTGGCTCCCTGCACTCACGGGGCTGCCCAACTGTGGACGCCACAGCTCAGTGACGGGCACCAAAGGCAGCATCTCCACCAGGGCGAGCTGAGAGGCCGTGGGCCAGAGCCAGTCTCACATTCCTGATGGTGGGGACCGTGCTCTCAGGGAGGGAACCGGCGCGTCCCCGCCTGCACAGTATGGCCTGTCCACGGCACAAGCCCTCGGGACCGCAGCGGTCGCTCCAGGAAAGCCAGGCACGCCCCAGCTGATGCACGCCCGGAGGCTGGCGGCTGCACCCTAACTTCCACAGGGCACTTCGGTGCCTCCCAGATCCAGAACTGGCGGCTCAGAGTTCCCCCTGTGGGGCATGGCACCTGGCTGCCCTCCCGCCATCCCGGGGCTTTCTCCCCTGATCGCTCACACCAGTGGGTTTACCTGTTATCTTTCTAGCAACGCCACCTCGCTCTTCACCAGGGCTGCACCTCCCCCTCATCTCCGCGCGATCTTTCCCACCGTGACGGACTCAACCCTTCTCTAATGCCTGTCGGCCCCTCTCTAAGACTAGTTCTGGCAGAGCTTTCTCAAACCCACAGGGCTTCCTCTCCCCACGTGCAGTCTTCTTCTCAGAGCAAGCGTGCAGGCCCAGGTGTGGTGCACGCAGCCTGTGAAAGAGCCAGCCCTGCACCGAGCTGCTCCCCGGTGCAGGCAGGAACTCGACAGGTTCACGTTTTACATCCAAAAGGTACTTGACAGTTTCCAAAAGACAGCTCTGCGTGCCCTAGAAATCAAAGCACACACAAGGCCAAGGGCCTGGGCACCTGTACACACACCCACACTCGAACACACGACGCATACACAGCACACACACGGCAGGCGCCGGCCCACTCACCCAGGCACAGGAAGAGGCCAACCTGCAGCTTGTAGCTGTGGCGGGAGAAGCAGGTGAACAGCAGGCAGAGCAGGTGGAAGACAACCAGCCCCACCAGCCACGGCTCTGTCCAATCTGTCTGCTGTGAGGGCAGGACGGGAGACACGTGTTAGGTCAAGGCACCGTGCCAACTTTGTGTCCTGGGCGTGGCATCCCCAGGAGAGGGGTGAAGGCCCCTCACTGCTGAGTGCTCTGGGCTACCGGGCAAGCCAAGCACAGGATGACCAGTCCTCCAACTAGGCAGAGAAGAGGAAGGGAGGCCAGGAATGTGAACCTCTACAGGGAGCAGGGGCACGGTGACGCACTCGGGCAGCCGGAATGAAAACAGAACTAGACTGGGGACCGCAGCCATCCCAACCAGTGGGCCCTCGACTTCCCCAACCTCTGGCCGACCGCCAGCCCGCCCCCTAGTGCTGGGTGTCTATGGGCAGTGCCCACACCCCAACTCAGGCCATGGTGGGCTCGGAGTTAGCAGATTCCAGTCCAGGCCTGACACTGTTCTCAATGCAAACGTTCTCAGTCTTTGTGCCCCTTGGCCCTGCTGCAACCCAGCACAGCCCTGCACTGTGCTGCCTCCTGTGGCCAGTGCCCAGAGCTTCCTGGCCTGCGCTGGGGGCAGTAGGGACATGCCCAGCTGCGCGCTGCAGTGCGGGGCGGGACACAGGGCACAGGGAGCCACATATTAGAGGCAGATCCGAAGCAAGTGACCACAACACCACTGGCCGGCCTTAAGGGGGCTGGGAACCAAGGATGAGCAGTCAGGGGTTCCAGGGCACTGGGAAGCCCAGTACCAGGCCCGCCGGCCCCGCCCACAGCACCGCCTAGCCCGCCCACATCTCCAGCTCCTTTCAGCATCTGGTCCAGCTCTAAATGGCTCGGCCCCGCCCAGGCCCGGCCCGAGCGCCCAGACCCAAGCGGGCCCCGCCCACGGCGCCAGACTCCCTCCAGTGTCCTGGCCCTCTAGCAACCTCCCGGCCCCGCCCACAGCGCACAGGCCCCGCCCACAGCGCCCGACCCCAGCGGTTTCCGTTCCCGACGAC